GTCTAGCTGCAGTTGTCCCTTTGTCCCTTGGCCCCCATCCCTCCCTCTCTCGGGCGTCCGTGCTTCAGGCTCTGCAGTGGGGGAAGCGGGGCCCCGCTGCCTGGCAGGCTCAGAGCCTGACTGTGCGACCCCACCCAGCCGCCCTCTGGCCGCCCGCGCTCGCCTGGGTGGACGAGAAGGCCCCCGGAGTGCGTTTCCGCTGCTGGGACAGCCACTTCACCACCGGCAGGGGCGGCGGCCACGTCACCCAGGGAGGTGTAGGTCAGGAGGGCGTAGGCCGTCATTTCCACCTTCGGCTGAGGCCACTGCAACAGAAGGAGGGGCCAGCGGGGCCCTTTTCCTGCCGGGACCCAGGACCCCGCACCATGCAGACAGCGGCCAAGGCAGGACCGGAGCCGGTTGGTCAGGGTACCTGACGGCCAGTACCTGACTTGAGACCCTGTCGCCGTTAGCCAGAACGCATCCTTGTCCACGTCCCAGGAACTCGCTGGGCTCCAGTGGGTGACCCCGTCTGCAAGGACAGCATTGGTCAGGGGCCACAACCCGCCAGGACTCAGTCTGCATCCCACGGTGGGTGCCCCTGCCACGCCGCGGTCTCAGAGAAAAACTGGGGCATTGGATCCCGTGGAAAGAGAGTGCCGGCGGGGAAGACAGGACAAGCCCTTTCTGTCCAGCCGACAGGAAGGGCCTAAGAGGCTCCATCTCAGATCTGCCCAACAGCATGCAGCCCCAGGGCCGCCTTCCCATGGCCCTGGAAGACGTCATTATTCAATGGTCTCCTTCCTGTGCCCCTGGCAGACATCACTCATCAATGGCTTCCTTCTTATGCTCCTGGCAGACATCACTAATCAATGGCCTCCTTCCTGGCTGGTCCTGAGGTGACCCTAGATGTACCCACTTAGTGACTCCCACGTGCAGGGCTCCAAGGATTCTGAGCTCCCATGGGCTGTAAGGCCCTGAACCCCAGACAAAAACCAGCCCTCTCCCTACACCCCACCCCGCCCTTGAACCTGAACATTTAGCCCGGAATAGACACGCGTCACTCATCCAATTGGGTGGGTTTTAGAATTTTGCTTATTACTAGTTTTTTTGTTTTTGTTTTTTTTTGAGACAGGGTCTTGCCCTCTTGTCCAATTGGGTTGGAGTATACTGGTGTGATCACAGCTCGTTGCAGCCTTGAATTCCCGGGCTCCAGGGATCCTCCTGCCTCAGCCTCCTAAGTAGCTGGGATTACAGCCACATGCCAACACACCTGGCTAATTTTTTCTTTTTCTTTTCTTTTTTTTTTTTTTTTTTTTAGGAGACGGGGGGTCTTGCTATGTTGTCCAGGCTGGTTTCAAACTCCTTGGCTCAAGCCATCCTCCAGCCTCCACCTCCCAAAGTACTGAGATTACAGGCGTGAGCAACAGGGCCTGGACTTACTATAACTTTTTTTTTTTCACTAGGGTCCACAGGGGGCTGCCCCACACTGAGGCTTCAGGGGTTGGCGGGATGGCGTCCCCTACCGTGCGTGACAGCCAGGCTGCGGAGCTTGCGCAGGGCCTCGGGGGCGGCCGGGCTGCGGAGCAGGGTCAGCACGTAGGCGGTCAGGGCACAGCTGTAGGGGTCCGTGGCCAGGGGCGTGCTGGACTCCAGAAAGCGCCTCGCCTTGGCGATGGCGCCCCTCTCCTCCTGCGGGGTGGGGTGGGAAGGGGAACCCTGGGGGGCTGCCCTGTCCTCATCCGGCCCACCCCGCACAGGCCTCCCTGCGGAGAGCCCCGGCTGGCTCAGTGTCTCTCGCTCTGCAGCCATCTGTAGCTCCCACTCCCTGCAGACTCAGCTTTCAAACCCCGTCTCCATTCTTTTAAGTTCGAGCCCCAAATGAGGTCTGGCCGGAACGCTTGTGATTATAGCAAAGGAGCACAGAGACATCCGGAGGGGTAGGGAGGTGGGCAGAGCCCTAGCCACCCTGTCCCACCATGCCCCACGGCCAGGTCCTTGTTAAGACATCTGGCTTCCAACACCGCCCTGCCCAGGCCCCCCTCATCCTGCAGGCCTCGGCACCTCCTTGGAGAAGCCCACCCACGCTGCTCACAGCCCGGGAATGTGAGCGGCTGGGAGACAAGGACCGGGTCCGCGCTCTCGCAACGGGCTTGGCTCAGAGAAGCTGCCCAGTGACGCTGATGCAGTGGAAGCAGCGAGTGACCAGGAGCACGGATGGATTTCGGAAATGAGCAGAGGTGTTCCGGCAGCCCCAGCTGTGGTGAATGTGATCGCAGAAGGGGCGCCTTGCAAAGCCTTCGATCCTTAGACCAGGACAAAGCATGGGAACCGTCCCCAAAGTGTGGCATTGTGATGTGCCAGCCGGGGCATGTGCCCGGGATGAACAGGGCAGATTAGCCAGACCCCAGGCCTGGCCCACATGAGCCCATCGCCTGGGGCAGGGGCCGGGGCTGGATGCCATCCCAGCGGCAGGGGGTGACTCCAGGCCATTGGACCAGGAGGACGCTATCAAGACCACACCACGCTGGGGAGGACCCCGAGGCCTGGAGCAGGTGCAGTAGGTTGAAGGGTGCCTGCTTCCCCCCTCCACAAAGTATGTTCCCTGGAACCTATAAATCTCATCTTATTTAGAAAAAGGGTCTTTGCAGATGTAATTAAATTAAGAATCTTGAGATGAGGCCAGGCGTGGTGGCTCATGCCTGTAATCCCACCACCTTGGGAAGCCGAGATGGGAGGATCACTTGAGGCCAGGAGTTCAAGACCAGCCTGGGCAACATAGCAAGACCCTATCTCCAAAAAAAAAAAAGAATTTAAAAATCAGCCAGGCATGGTAGTGCATGCCTGGAGTTCCAGCTACATGGGAGGCTGAGGCAGGAGGATCGCTTCAGCCCAGGAGTTGGAGGCTGCAGTGAGCTATGATGACGTCACTGCACTCCAGCATGGGTGAGATAGTGAGACCCTGCCTCAAAAAAAAAAAAAAAATCTTAAAATGAGATCATTGTGAATTAGGGAAACCCTAAATTCAATGACATCATCATAGCTCACAGCAACCCCAAACTCCTGGGCTCAAGCAATCTTCCTGCCTCAGACTCCCGAGTAGCTGGGACTACAGGTGTGCGCCACCATGCTTGGTGAATTTTTCCATTTTTAGTAGAGATGGGGTCTCACCATGTTGCTCAAGCTGGTCTTGAACTCCTGGCCTCAAGCAATCATCCCACTGTAGCCTCCCAAAGTGCTGGGAATACAGGTGTGAGCCACCACGCCCAGGCTGCTCGACATGTTTGACCACTTCCATGGGAGACTTTGGTTATGACTTCTGAGGTGGTGAGGGTGCTACGGAATATCTGTGTACCCCCAGAATTCATATGTTGAAGCTCTAGCCCCTAATTCAATGGTATTAGGAGTTGGAACCTTTGGGAGACAGGTTCAGAGGAGGTCATGAGGGTGGAACTCTTGAATGGGATCAGTGTGCTTACAAGAAGAGGAAGGGACGGGGAGATCAAGGGAGCTCGCTCTGCGCCCGCATGCCTAAGGAAGGGCCACGCAAACTCACAGTGAGAAGGTGGCCGTCTACAACCCAGGAACGGAGCCCTCACCGAGAACCAGATCTGCCTGCGTCTTGATCTTGGATTTCCCAGCCTCTAGAATAAATGTCTGTTGCTGAAGCCACTAACGGTATTTTGTTACAGAAACCCGAGCAGAGATGGGCGTCAGGACTTCAGCATGTGAATTTGGGGCAGGGGAGAACAGATCCAGCCCCGCACAGGGCAAGCGGCCCTCTGGGCGTTGCGCATGAAGACACAGAGGGTCTAACTAAGTCACAGCGAACCTCAGACCCAGCAGTTACATCTGGACGGTGAGGCCGAGAACTCTGAGAGGCGTCACGCCTCAGGATCCGTCATCCGAGGCTGTAGGTCTGACTCAGGTGTTAGAGATGGCGGTTCCTTCCCACCCGGGGCTGAGCCCTGCTGTGGGTGCCTCCCCGTGGGAGCCACGCCACCCCCACCCAGGACGGCCTGGCAGAAGCAACTGTGGCGCTCAAGCCTCTTGGACCACCGGAGCCCCAACTGGGGCCAGTACTGACTGTCTCTGAACATTCTACCCTCCTCCGCCCAAAACTGTTTGTGGGCCCCGCATTTTGTACAGGGCTCCCTGACGCCAGCCCTCGGGTTGGTAGCCAGGAAGCTGAATTAGCCCCAGATGATTCTTCTTCTTCTTCTTTTTTTTTTTTTTTGAGACAGAGTCTCACTTTGTTGCCCAGGCTAGAGTGAGTGCCTGGCATCAGCCTCAGCTCACAGCAACCTCAACTCCTGGGCTCAAGCGATCCTCCTGCCTCAGCCTCCCGAGTAGCTGGGACTACAGGCATGCGCCACCATGCCCAGCTAATTTTTTGTATATATATTTTTAGTTGGTCAATTAATTTCTTTCTATTTTTAGTAGAGACTGGGTCTCGCTCAGGTTGGTTTCAAACTCCTGACCTTGAGCGATCCACCCGACTCCGCCTCCCAGAGTGCTAGGATTACAGGCATGAGCCACCACGCCTGGCCCTTTTTTTTTTTTAGAGACAGGGTCTCGCTCTGTTGCCAGGATGACGTGCAAGGGGCCTCCCGAGTAGCTGGGACTATAGGCATGTGCCACCATGCCCGGCTAGTTCTTAAATTTTTTTGTAGACACAGGGTCTTGCTTCGTTGCCCAGGCTGGTCTCCAATTCCTGGCTTCAAGGAATCCTCTTGCCTCGGCCTCCCAGGGTGCTGGGATTACAGGTATGAGCCACCGTGCCTGGCCCGAAACGATTTTCTTAAGGAAGCCTGGGGTCTCTGGACAGTCCCTGGAAGACGTTTTACTCAGGGTGGCCCCTGACATGTGCCTGATGTCCTCCCACTCCGCCCCACCACGGACACCACGAGCATCTCTCTCGTCTGCTCAGGCTGCAAGAAGTTGGACGTCACGCGACCATTCTTTATGAAAACACAACAAAGTCTCCTTAATGAGTGGAGGGAGATCACCGAGGCTTAGATAACCCGGCCGAGCCCACTCTCTGCCTTCCAGCCCCCACCGCCCCGCGTCCCCCGGCCCGCCTGCGCTCACCTCCGAGGCCGCGCCTGCCTCCAGGAGCGCAGCGGCCACGTAGGCCGTCAGGGGGACGGTGCCGCGGACCCCGCCCTGCACAGAGACCCACAGGCTCCACCCGGGCCGGAGGGAGGGACGGCCGCCTCCCCCCCCACCGCCCCCCCACGGAACAGGCAGGGCAGGGACAGCCCGTCTCCTCCCCCCCGCCCCCCCTCCTGCGCCGCCCCCGTCCCCACCCTCAGCTCCAGACGGGAACAGGCAGGGCAGGGGGGAGGGGGCGGGGGGAGGGACAGCCCGTCTCCCCCCCCCAGCTCCAGACGGGAACAGGCAGGGCAGGGGGGAGGGGGCCGGGGGGCCACTCGCCTGGATGTCCTTGTTGAGGACCCTGCCCACGGCCGGGAAGGACCCGTCCTCCCGCTGCCGGCGCACGATCCAGGCCTTGGCGGCCTGCAGCTCGCGAGGGTCCACGAAGATGAAGCTCCGCGCCTGGGCGAAGGACTTCAGGACGAAGGCCGTGAGCCTGGAAGAGGGCGAGGCAGGGGCTGGGGGGCGCGGAACAGGGGAGGGGGCCGCGGCCAGCGGGGAGCTGCCGGGAGCTTGGAACGCCCGCGCCGCGCCAGCCGCTCTCCCTGGTCTCCACGTTCGGACCGCACACGGGGGATCGCGCCGCCCCGCCCTCCCTGGTCTCCATGTTCGGACCGCACACGGGGGATCGCGCCGCCCCGCTCTCTCTGGTCTCCACGTTCGGACCGCACACGGGGGATCGCGCCGCCCCGCTGTCCCTGGTCTCCACGTTTGGACCGCACACGGGGGATCGCGCCGCCCCGCCGTCCCTGGTCTCCACGTTTGGACCGCACACGGGGGATCGCGCCGCCCCGCCCTCCCTGGTCTCCACGTTCGGACCGCACACGGGGGATCGCGCCGCCCCGCTGTCCCTGGTCTCCACGTTTGGACCGCACACGGGGGATCGCGCCGCCCCGCCGTCCCTGGTCTCCACGTTTGGACCGCACACGGGGGATCGCGCCGCCCCGCCGTCCCTGGTCTCCACGTTTGGACCGCACACGGGGGGATCGCGCCGAGGCGCTTCCCTGCGCAGGGGACACGCGGTGACCGAAAGAAACGCGTGCTCAAGGCCCGCAAGGCCAGGCAGGAGCCTTGAATGCGGGCCGCTAAGCGGGGGAAGGGCGCACCCCGTGTGAGTCCGACCCTGTGACGCTCTGGAAAAGAATGTCGGAGCATCGTGGTGGCTCCAGAGAGTTTCGGATTTCAGAGCATTTCTGATTTTGGGTTTTTCTGATTTAGGGTGTTCAATCTGCCATTGAACACGCCTGTGGGTGCGCGCATGTGGCCCGCCATGAGACGGGGCTGTCGGCCAAGCTCTCTGCTCCCGGCCCTCTAGCCTCGTCCTGTTCCACCGAGAACCAAAGCAAACACCTTGCCCTCTCTGTCTCCTCCCTTGTGCCAGGGCACCACCCTCCCGGCGTGCACCGCTCCGGCCACACTGGCCTCCCTGTAGTGGCTCAGTCCTGCCTCAGGATCTTTGCACTGGCCGTTCCCTCTGCCGGGAACACCCTTCCCTTGGATTTTCACATGGCTCTTCCCTCACCTGCTCCAGGAAACTTTTCCCAGCTACCCCCATAGACACGTGTTTTTCCATCACGCTCTATGCCCTCCTTGGTTTGTTTTATAGATGCGAGAAATTATATATATATACCTGGTGCGGTGGTTTTAACACATGCCCACCCACGCCTCCGTGCCTCCTTTTAAGAGGTGGAGCCTAACTCTCCTCTCCTCCCGTCTAGAGTGTGCTTAGCAACTCGCCCCTAAGGACAGACTGTGGCGGAAGTGAGCGTGCGACCGGTGGGACCAGATGAGGAAAGGCCCCGTGGCCTCCTCTTTGCTTTCTCCCTCGGAGCCCTCGCTCTGGAAGGAAGCCAGCCGCCGTGCAGCGAGGCCGCTCGGGCAGCCCCATGGAGCAGCCCACGTGGTGAGAAACCGAGGCCTCCCGCCAACAGCCGTGTGAGCGGGCGACTCGGAAACTAACCCTCCAGCCCCGGCTGAGCCTGCAGGCGACTACAGACCCAGGCAGCACTTTGATTGCGACCTCAGGAAAGACCCTAGCCCAGAAACACCCAGCTAAGTTGCTTCTGACCTCCCCATCCCCAGCCACTGAGACAACCCACGTCCATTATTTTAAATGGCTGCGTCTCGGGGTAGCTTGTCACACGGCAGTAGCTGGCTGCTGCATCTGGTACGGCTCTCTCCCCCACACGGGGCAGTGAGCACCTGGAAGCAGGGATCATGCTTTCCGTGTTCCCCAGGGCTAAGGACAGGGCCCGGCACACAGTGAGCACTCACTGTTGAATGAATGAGTGAATGAATGAATGGATGGATGGGCAGGTACCAGATGTAACAGATCTATACCAGATCCCAATTTTAAGGCCGCTAGGCTGGATCTTGGACTTCTCAGGCAAGCGGTTAGGGGAGGCGCCCACAGGACAGCTCTGGGCTGAGGGAGCCACATGCTCTTCCCACGGAGCTGGGGCCCGAGAGGGATGTGTGTGGTGAGAAAGGGGCTCAGAGAGGTCGAGCACCAGGTCTAAGGCCACACAGCTCACACGAGACAGAGCCTGGGTCTGCCCGGCCTCAGGTGGCCGCCCTGTGCCTACTGCACCCTTGTCCTGCAGGGTCCCCAGGAAGATGTCCGTGTTCGGAGACCAACAGGGACGTCTCCCAGCGTGAGAGGGGACGGGAAAGCCGCCCAGCGTCACGTTTCCACGACCACCGCGGAATCTGATTTTTCTGCTCACGCCGAGGGCGTGGTCCTGAAAGACGCCGGGCGTGTGCGTGCACAGTGGGAGGTGCCCGGCGGGTCACAGCTCGCTAATCCTGGCCAGTGGGGGCCTCTTGGGGGCTGCCGGCACTGCAGCTGTGCAGTGGACGGACACTGCCAGGCTGCCGGGGCGATCTCCAAGGAGGAGTCTGAGGATGGGAGCAGGAGTTGCAGGGTGACCCCGGTCTCAGGTGAGCCCCAAGATGATGCCAAAACTCCTGTGGCCCAGGGAGCCCAGGGATCAGGACCTAAGTATGTCCACCCTCCCCTCGGGCCGCCTGGCCCTGATCAGCCCCCGGAAGCCAGGTAAGTGGGGCCCCAGGCCACTCTCCCACGTTCCCCTCACCCCAGCCTCGAGGGGGCGGGCTGACCTCTGACCCTCTCTCCGCCCAGCTCCTCCTGCTCCGGGGTCGCCCCCATGCCTGGGTCTGGTTGGGCCAGAGAGCAGGGCACTGGCTCCTGGTCACCGTGGTAACCCCAACAACAGTGGGAGCAGCACCCATAATAATCACCTGCTCCACCTCACACGCTGAGCCCCCTACATGGTCCCCCTGTGCCCCTGGGGCCGGGAGCACCACGATTTGATTTCCATTTCCCAGCCAAGGTCCCCGTCACCCGGGGATCAGGCGCAGGTGCCGGGCCATGCGTGCCGGGCGTGAGGCGGGCTGGGGCCGGGACTCACCACGTGCTCCCCGAGGCGTCCCGCTCCCCGAAGGCGCTGTAGGAGCCGTCCTGGTGCTTGTAGGTCAGCTGGCGCTGGTAGCCTGCGGCGAGCAGAGGCCTGTCCTGCTGAGTGCCTGGCCCAGGCCGGCCGACGGGCCCCACGCTGCCCCGCCACCCCCACCCCGCCCTCCAAACGATGCCACACCACCTCTGGGGTCCCAGGGACTGCCCCACGCCACGTCTGGGGTGGCCATGCCCCCCGCTTCTTTCGTTCCTCGTTTGCTGACATCCCTTTGTGACTCCCAGGCACACGCCAGCCCTCCGTCGTGCCCGGGCAGCCCCTGAAAGGTGCCGTGTGCAGGCGGCACCCTCTGGCCCCAGGGGGAGGACCACCCGGACAGCTAGAGCCAGGGCTCGGCGAGCCTGCAGGCCGGAACGTGCCCGAGCGGCTGGAACAGGGGCTGGGCTCGGAGTTTGGCTTTGCTGCGAGGGCACAGGGAGCCATGGGAGGTGTGTGAGCAGGGGAGGTGTGAGAGACATATGTAGCGGGGGGGGGCTGTCAGGTCTGGACAGGAAGTTGGGGGACCCTTGTGGGTGTGCAGTGAGGGGCTTGGACCCAGGGCTGTTATCACAGGCGGGGAGCAGTTTGTAGCCAGAGCCACTGAAAGGACGGGGCTGTGCCCACAGAGGAAAGCAGCAAGAGGAACTCTACCGGGTGGGCGGTGTTCCCAAAGTCACATCCCCCTGGAACCTCCAAATGGGACTGTGTCAGGATCTTTGCAGACGTAATTCTGGTAAGGATCTCAAGATGAGATCACACTGGATTGGGGGGAGCCCTAAATCCAATGACTGGCGTCCTTATAAGATAAAAGAAAGGGGACTGAGTGGGGGCTCGGGCTTTTGGGAGGCCATGGTTGGAGGATCGCTTGAGCCCAGGAGTTTGAAACCAGCCTTGGCAATATATCAAGATCCCGTCTCTACCAAAAAAAAAAAAGAAATTGAAAATTAGCCAGGTATGGTGGCGCGTGCCTGTAGTCCCAGCTACTCGGGAGGCTGAGGCAGGAGGAACGCTTGAGCCCAGGAGTTGGAGGCTACAGGGAGCTATGATGGCCACTGCACTCCAGCGTGGGTGTCAGAGTGAGATCCCGTCTCATTAAAAAAAAAAAAAAAAAAAAATTCTGTTGTTTTAACCCAAGAAACTAGTACAAGGGTCTTGGGGGAAAGATGGAGGGGGCTGATTTGGGGTGTGTCGAGTCGGAACTGCCCCCCGGCCGGCTGTCCTGGGGAGACCGGCCTGTCGCTCCGAGCAGGGCTTACTATTAATAAACGCTCCTGGCGTTTCAGGCCCTGAGCAGGGATGCGCTCGCCAGGGCGGCCGGTGACCACCCACCCCCCAGACCTCGAGAGCGCCAGCCCACCCCCAGGCCCAGCCCGAGTGGACGTGGCCTTCCTGGCAGTCCGGGATCAGCCTCCGTGAAGCCGGACTTGCAGCCGTGGCAACCCGTTTCTCTCCCCACCTGAGAGTCGCACGTTCTTTATCGCACATTTTTGTCCTTTCCCCGTTCGTGAGAGTGGGTGAGTCAAGACCGCCTTTGGGGACCTCGGGGCGGAGTCACCACGTGGACCTTACCTGCCAGGAGGCAGGAGCCCCAGACCAGCCCCAGGAATCGGGGTGTGCCCGTAAGACTCAGTTTCTCCATCTGAGAGGGGCTGGCACTGTCTGAGGAGCTGGGCACAGCTCCTTCCCGATGGTGGACGTTTCCAAGGTCGTTCCCATGGCGTGTCATCTCCCCTGGGCAGCAACCGGCCACCCCCAGCCGCCCCTCACATCCCAACTTTTACGTGACGGCTCCAGCCCGGGGCCAGAAGCAAACCCCAGGAGGCCCCACGACTTTCATGTCAGCTGACTTAACTTCCTTGTGACCCAGATTAGAAACTGAGGCACTGACAGGAACAGGTCCTATCTGAGGACATAGAGAGGGTGACCATGACAGAAGTAAGGCTCCAGCCTCCCCTTCCCTCCCCCATGGGGCTAAGATGTGCAGAGGGGACAGGCAAGATGTTCGGTGCTGCACTATTTAATTCTGAAGATGTTCAGTGCTGTGTTAGTTATTTCTGAAAATGTTCAATGTTGTGTTATCTGTCTCTGAAGGTGTTCAGTGCCGCATTATTTCTGAAGATCTTTGGTGTTGCATTATTTATCTCTAAAGATGTTTAGTACTATGTTATTTATTTCTGAAGGCATTCAGTGCTGCATTGATTATCTCTGAAGATGTTCAGTGTCGTATTATTTATCTCTGAAGATGTTCAGTGCTGCGTTAATTATCTCTGAAGATGTTTAGTATTGCATTGTTTATCTCTGGAAATGTTAGGTGCTCTGTCATTAGAGGAAAGGAGAACGGGAAATACCCCAATACGTCCAGTGAATCTCACACACACAGCTCGGGGCGGGGGTACGCTGTAGGATGCCACATCGTAAGGTACCAAGAGTGACAAAGCCAATCCGTAGTGCTAGACGGGGGTGGGGCGTGGAGTAAACTCAGAACCAACAGTAATGGGGAGGGGCTATATAGAATTTTTTTTTTTTCCTTTTCTAAATGCTTTTAAATAACGGTGCTCTTGTTGTTTTTCTTAAAAAAAAAAAAAAAATCTACATTTTTAAAAGATGCCCTTCCTCTCCCTGAGTCTGAGCATCAGAATTCGGAGTTGTGTCCTACAGCCATGGCGCCAGGCTGCTGCAGAGAGTGACGGACCAGGGCCACTGGGAACGGCCTGTTTGTCCCTCTGCACTGGTGTGTGGGCGGCTCTCGGCGCGGTCCTCCCCCCGAGGGCCGAGCCTCCCTCCCTCCCGCTCTGCTCCCCCTCCCCGGCAATTTCTCCCCCATACCTTGTACCAGGTAGTCAGTGGTCTCCCTCTCCACCTCGGGGCTGAGCTGCCGGGTTTTCTGTAGATACTTCAAGACGAAGACGTTGGGAGCAAAGTGGACCATGTTCTGCTCCCCACAGCCAAAGGGCAGCCGCAGGAGGCTGTTGAGATGGTTCAGAGGTGGCCCCATGACGTCTCCTGGTGGGGAGGGGAGGAAGGTTGGGCAGGGGGCCGCCCCAGCCCCGTAGAGCACAGAGACAGCCCTGCTCAGAGACGGGAGCCCACCTGTGCCCTCGCACTGGCCACCCAACCTCTGACTGCCGGTTCTGTCCTTTGGAACCAGGTTGCCCCTTCTGTCCTCTTAAACCGCCTGGTGTCCCAGAATTGGTGACCTTCTCCTACACGTCTCCTTCTGTGTTCTTTAGTTTTCACTTAGATGTTCTTTCTCTAGCTTTTCATTCCGTTCAATGCTTTTTTTCTTTCTGGCTTCTTAAATAGGTGCATTTTAAGGCTATGCATTGTCCCCTAAGTACAACTTTAGCTGCATCCCATAAATGTTGGTATGTCAATACAGCTATTCTTGTTCTAGTCTAAATAGTTTTTGAATTTCTGATACAAAATGTGATTTTCTCTTTAACCATGAGTATTTCAATTTTTAAAAAGTTTCCTTCCATATGAGAGTATTGTTGGTACATTTAAAAAAGTTCTCTCTCTCTCTCTCTTTCTTTCTTTTAAATTTCTGGTTTCCTGTTCTCTCATCCTCTTGGTATTCTGTCTGCCTCTTCTTGGCCCCCCTGTCCCAAACATTGCTGATGGGCCCTCTGGGACCCTCAATGCCCCCTGAACATGTCTCCCTTCCCTCTTGTCCTCTCCTCATGTCTCACTGAAGCTGCCATTGCCCCTTCAGCTTCCTCCTATCTTGGGGACTGCTGGACTACTTTCTCACCACCCTCCTCTGGGTTTCCTAGCTTCTTCTCCATCCAGGCACTGGCACACGGGTCCCAGCCTTCACCTTCTCTCCGTCCCTGCCCATCTGCCTCCTCCTCTATGCCCCTCACCTCCATCTGGGCCACCCCCTGCCATGGATGCCTCTCACTTGCTCTCATGCCTCAGGATCGTAAACTCTAGCATCCTGTGATCTGGCCCAAACCTCCAACCTACCCGGGCCCCAGAGCCGCTACTCTGATGTCAGAGGGACCCGGGCGGGACTCCCTCGTCTGGGTCCATCCACCCCTTCTGGCCTCTTGCCCTCTCTTCCCTCGTTCGGGTCCACCCCAAACTCTCACCGCCCGTCTGCCTGACACCCACGGCTGGATCAGGACACAGCCCCTACTGTCCACTCCCGTGCCTGGGCGACGGAGACATTTCCAACACTGGAGACTCCGCGGAGGCTGCTCCAAACCCCCCACGCTCCCCACCCCTCCGGTCCCAGCCTCTCACCCTCTCCCAGCGACAGCCTGGGCAGCCTACCCCCTCACCAGGGCGGTCTCTCCCCGCCCTGCACTGGCTGCCTTCACCTGGCCTTTGGCCTTCCTGGGTCCCTTCCCGGGCCCACCACCCTCCCAGGGTTCACCGCAGGTCCCTAGGGGTCGCCCCACCCTGACCTCCACACATGGCTTGGACTGGGTGGCTCTAGACACGCCACCTTGGCCATGGTAGGTGTCAGCTCTGGGGCTGCCTCGGCACTCAGCACATGGCCGGACATAGAGAAAGCGCTAGAAGCTGCACGCCGGGTGCGTGGGCGGGGGCCCCAGGGACACAGGGCCCCAGCGAAGCCGGCCTGAGACCGAGCCTGCAGTGGGCCTGGGCTCGCAGCGCCTGCCCTCCCCAAGCCAGGCTGCAGGCGGACCCACCTATGACGGAGGCAGTGGCCCGCTCGGACCCGGGGACGGCGCCGTGCGGGATGCCCAGCGTGAAGGCCTCACTGTAGCTCTCGTCCGCCTCCATCTTCCTCCAGATGCGGAACTCGCCCGTGGAGCCCCAGCCGGTGGAGAAGCCAATGAACTGGACCTCGGGTGTCCTCGGGAGGGCCCAGGCCACGATGACGGACTCGTTGGATGGCTCTGCACCGTGGCCCACCTGGGAAAAGGGACCGAGGCTGCTGCACGCTGGCGAGAGGCACACAACGGCACTCGGGCAGCAGCGACACTGGGCGCAGGGCCGTGGTCAGAGGCCTTGGCCCTGCTCATAGTATCAAGGAGTCAGAGGTGAGAGAAATCAGAGGTAGCCCCATCCATTAAATGGCCAACAGAGACACAAGCATGGCGTCTGTGGGTTCCAAAGCCACCAAGCTCCTTGGAATCGCTGGACCTTTGTACATGCTGCTCCCTCTGCCTGGAACATCCTGTGTTCCCTGTTTTACCCACTGAACTCCTATTCATACGTCAAAACCCACTTCGATCATGTCCCTCCACTAGGAAGCTGTGTTAGCCAATCCTTTTCTATATTCCTTTTGCTTAGCCAACCCAGAAAGATCCCCCAGCCGCCACTTCACTGCTCATATCCACTCTTTCTTTCTCCCCGACCACCTACCAGCGCTGTGTGTTCCCAGACCTCCGGACGCCTCCCCTGCCGCGGCTCTCGCTCATCTTGGGGGGTGAGCGACCCCAGACAGACCGAGAGCAACCGGCGGTGGAGCCCTGCGTTCCCCTCACCCCTGCCCGCCCCGCTCAGAGCGCGGCACAGCACGGGAAGCCGCCAACGCCGGAGGAGTACGCGGCCTCCGCGCCCGCCTCGGCCGGTCCCGCCGCACCTGGATGAGCCCGCCGTGCCAGCTGATCCAGAATGTTCTGAACTCGTCCCAGGAGAGGATCTTGGCGGTGTGCACGCTGGCCACGGGCTCGCCCATCTTGCTGGTGGAGATCCACGACCGGGTGTTCTGGTGCCCCCCGAGCACGACCTCCACCATGCCCGCCGTGTCCTGGGGCCCGGAGGACAAGGCCACCCGGGCGTCGTTGTGGGCTCGCACGGCCACGTCGAGACGGGCGAGGCGCAGCGGCCGCTGCACGTACTGGAACTCGTACTTGTTGGGGGTGGAGATGTGCACTCTCTCTGCAGGGAGGAGAGGAGGCGGGCAGCTGCCAGCTGGGCGCACCCCTGCCCTCCCCGCCGGGGCCCGGAGGTGGGCACTGGGCCACGAAGGCCACACGGGGGACCCGGGTGATGGAATGCCGAAAAATAGGAAACTCAGCTAGCCGTGGTGGCACACGCCTGTAGTCCCAGCTACTCGGGAGGCTGAGGCAGGAGGATCCCTTGAGCCCAGGGCTTCAAGACCAGCCTGAGCAAGAGTGAGACCCCGTCTCTACAAAAAATAGAAAAATGAGCCGAGCATGGTGGCGCTCGCCTATAGTCCCAGCTACTCAGGAGGCTGGGGCAGGAGGATCCCTTGAGCCCAGAGTTCGAGGCTGCAGTGAGCTGTGATGATGCCACGGCACCCCATCAAAATAAAATAAAATAAAAGACATGCAAATAGGCAACGGGTATATGAAAAAATGCTCAACATCGCTAATCGTCAGGGAAGTGCAAATCCAAATCACAATAAGATGTCATCTTACCCCAGTTAGATTGGCTATTAAAAAGGCAGTTTTTTAATACTAAAAAATATTAAAAAGACAAAAAATAACAGACGCTGGTGAAGATGTCGAGAAAATGAACTCTTCTATGCTGTTGGTGGAAATCTAAATCAGCACAGCCACTAGGGAGAACGGTATGGAGACTTCTCAAAAACACTAGAACTAGAACTACCATGTGACCCAGCAATCCCACTACTGGGTATTTATCCAGAGGAAAAGAGCTGGGTGTACGGAAGGGAGACCTGCACTCCCGTGTTTATCGCAGCACTAATCGCAACAGCCAAGACCTGGACTTAACCTCAGTGTCCGCCGGCGGACGAATGGATGAAGAAAATGCAGTACATATATACACCGGAATATCACGTGGCCATAAAAATCGAGGAAACCATGTCACGTGCGGCCGCGTGGATGGAACTGGAGTACATCGCGTTAAGCGAAATACGCCAAGCACAGACAGATAAATATTGCCTGTTCTCGCTCATACGTGGGAGCAAGAAAAAGTTGATCTAGCAGAGGTAGAGAGTAGGATGACAGGTACCACAGGCTGGGACAGGTACGCGTGCCGGGGGCAGGGGCATACGGAGAGGTTGGTTAATGGGTGCCAACATCTAGTTCGATAAAAGGAATAAGGTCTGGTGTTAAGTAGCGGAGTAGGATGGCCACAGTTAACAACATCGTGTTATGTGTTTGAACCCTGGCGAGCAACGGGGTGACAGATGTCACAGCAAGATTGCCCCTCGTAGCCAGTGTGTCGTGTATTTCAAAATTGCCATTAGACAGAATGCGACAGGTTCCCAACACATGAAACGAAACATGCTCCAGGTCTGGACACTCCACGTACCCTGACTTTATCATCACACACTCTACGCATGGAGCAAAGCAGCACACGCACCCCACAGAAACGCAAAACTAGTATCTCCCAATACGAAGAAATAACTCACAAAGAGAGCGTAAAAGGGGCAGAAATAGACCCGCGCACGTGAGAACAACGGATCTTCAGCCAAAGTGCAAAGGCAGTTCCGTAGAGAAAGGAAGGTCCTTTCAATAAATGGTGCCAGAACAATTGGCCACCCAAATGCACAAAGATAGACTTTGATCCACACCTTGCGTGGTAGCCAAAATTAACTTGGGATCACAGCCAGTCCATAAACGCAAAACGTAAAACTATAAAACCGTAAGAAAACAGGACATGGCAAAGATTTCTTAGGTACAACAAAAACATTCATCCATAAACGAAAAAAGTGATAAATTAGACTTCATCAAAATGAAAAACTTCTTTTCTAAAAATAATTTTTATTTGTTTATGTGGTTGAATCTATTCTTTTATGCCTTGGTGTTTTTGTTTATTTGTTTGTTTGTTTTTATGAGGGGGGTCTCACTCTTGCTCAGGCTCGTCTCGAACTCCCAGAGTGCTAGGATTACGGCATGAGCCACCGAGTGCTCATTTATAACCATATCCTACTTACTTACCCTTTCTCTTTCTAACCCCTAGCAATGACTCATATGACCCCCATTTATAAAATTTCATCATTTGAAAAAATGTCATATAAGCGGAATCACTTTTGTACCCCTTTGGGACTTTTTTCCATTCAATTTCCTTCATTCCAGATCCATCCAAGTATCAACAGCTGGCTCCTCTGTAGGGCTGAGTGGCACTCCAAGGTATGGAGGGACCAGAGTGGGTTCAGCCACTCACCCACCGGACGCATGTGAGCTGCCTCCAGAGCTGGGCTCTTACGAATAAAGCTGAGAGGAACATCTGTGGACAGGCTTTGTGTGCACGTAGGTCTGAGTTTCTCCGGGATAAGTGCCCAGGAGTGCGGCTGCTGAATGCTAAGGTAGTTGCACGCTTAGCTTTTTAAATAAACCACCAGACTGCTCTTATAAACCACGCAAAGTGGCTGTACCACTTTACATTCCCACCGGCAACGTGAGTCATCTGCTCTCTCTGCACCTTTGCCCTCACGATTTTTCATTTTGGCCATTCAGATAGGTGTGTGGGGCTGCCTCACTGTGTTTGAATCTGCATTTCCCTAACGATGGTCAACACCTTTTTTTACGTGTGGTTTCCCTCCTGTGGGTCTCCTCCGGTGAAATGTCTGTTTATTTATTTTGCCCACTTTCTAATCGGATTGTTTGTTTCCTCGCTGTTGAATTTGGGAGTTCTTTATGTATCCTAGATACTAGTTCTGTGCCTGATACCAGTTTGCAAATGTTTTCTCCCAGTCTGTAATCTGTACTTCCACCTCTTAGGGTCTTTTGTAAGGCAAAAAAAGAAGGTCTAATTTTCATGAGATCCATTTATAAATGTTTCTTTTTATAAATCATGTTTTTGTTGTCAAGTCTAAAAAGTCTTTGCTGGCCAGGCGCGGTGGCTCACGCCAGTAATCCTAGCACTCTGGGAGGCCAAGGCGGGAGGATTGATTGAGGTCAGGAGCTAGAGACCAGCCTGAGCAAGAGCGAGAACCCGTCTCTGCGAAAAATAGAAAAATTGGCCGGGCGTGGTGGCTGCAGGCCCAGCTACCTCCCAGCCAGCCAGTGCCTCGGGGAGGGGCCGGATGGGGAGGGGCAAACAGCCTTGCAGGAAGCCCGAGTTCGCTTCTCCGGCCCCACCAGGGCAGAGGTGTGAATGAGCCTTTCTTGGGGCACGTTCTTTCTGCACCCATTGTCTCCTTACATACCACAAGTCAGCATAATACAGATTTTAGGGGATCCAGGCAGAGAAACTGACATGTCCTCCTCCGCTGCCTTGTGCCTCTGGGTCACGCTCGGGCCCACAACTTCCCCTGATGTGAGTGAGCCTAAGGTCTCCCTTCCTGTGACCCTGGGCTCGTCACCCCGGGAACCCCGAGGACAGCCCTGCCCCTGACCACAGCCCCTGCCCCGTCTTCTTGCTTGCTGCCTGCAGTACACACCCCCATGCGATCACTGCCACGTGGCGGACGCCCAGCCCTCACTCTGGCTGCTCCCAGCTGGGACACCTCACTTCTTGACTGTCACGCCCTCGGTCCCCGGGCAGGGCTGCTGTGCCACGGTCCCGACCCGCCAGGCGGCCCCTCTCTGCAGAGTGGGCGCAGGGGACTCACCGTTGGGGCAGAAGAAAGCGCTGTAGGTATACGCGCGGGACACTCCTTCAGGCTGAAACAGAGAAACGGGCGGAGCTGAGCGCGGGCCCCTGTGAGGGCGCACGGTCCTCGGGGCAGCGGCTCCAAGTCCAGACGGCATGGTCACCCCGCCGGGGCTCGCATGGCATCCACAGGGTGGCAGCAAGAGGACAGGTGCACACAGGACTGGGCTGCCCACTTCCCAGGCCCAGATGGGGAAACCGAGGCCACTCCCCCACGGCAGCCAAATGAAACTCACCAGCTGCTTCTAGACTTGCCCCACACCCCCACCCTGCACTCCCAGCCGCCCCTTCCCTCCCGTCTCCCCTGGCAGGGAGCACTGAAGCCGAGGCTGCCGGGGTCCGAGAGCCCGTCTGACGTCCTTGAGTGCCGGGAAAGGGGCGCCCGGGTCTGCCGAGGACACGTCACCGTCCTACCGTCTGACACATCCCTGGGAGTCTCTTCCGCCCAGACTCCTTCTTCGGCTTCTTCTACAGATGGCCCCAAATACTAGATGGCAGCTGTCCTGTTCTCTTAAAAAGGGATGCCCAGGCCAGGTGCGGGGCTCGTGCCTGCAATCCCAGCATTCTGGGAGGCTGAGGAGGGAGGATTGTTTGAGGCCAGGAGTTTGAGACCAGCCTGGGCATAACAGTGAGACCCTGTCTCTCCAAAAAATTTTAAAATCAGCTAAGAGTGGTGCTGGGTTCCTGTAGTCCCAGCTACTCAGGAGGCTGAGGCAGGAGGATTGCTTGAGCCCAGGAAACCGAGGCTGCAGTGAGCTATGATGTCGCCATGGCACTCCAGCCTGGGCAACAGAGCAAGACCTTGTCTCAAAAAAAAACAAAAAAAAGATGTTAAATAGCACAGGATAGGGCCAAGCAGTTATAGACCCATGGTGGCTTTAGACACAGTCATAAAAATCAGTCATAACCTAAATGTCCACCAACAGGTGAATGGATAAATTATATGTGGCACATCCATCCAGTGGAATACTACGTAGCCACGAACAGGAACAAAGCCCTGATCGCTGCTACAATGGGGATGAACCTTGAACACTTGAACACACTGTGCTGAGTGACAGAAGCCATACACAAAAGGCTACATAGTGTGTGACTCCATTGATATAAAATGTTCAGAACAGGCAGGGCGCAGTGGATCACACCTGTAATCTCAGCACTTTGAGAGGCCAAGGTGGGAGGATCGCTTGAGGCCAGGAGTCTGAGACCAGCTTGGGCAACACGGGGAGACCCTGTCTCTACAAAAAATTGAAAAAATCAGCCGGGCATGGTGGTGCACAACTGTAGTCCCAGCTACTCGGGAGGCTGAGGCAGGAGGATCGCTTGAGTCCAGGAGTTGGAGGCTGCAGTGAGCCATGATGACACCACTGCACTCCAGCCTGGGCGATAGAGTGAGACCCTGACTCTACCAAAAAAAAAAAAACAACAACAAAAAAAGGAAAGAAATGTCCAAAGGTCCAGAACAGGCGAATCCACAGCGACAGCCCCAGGCCCCTCCTGTTGGCGGCGCGTCCGTCTGAGTGGGCTCTTGGGCTCTCACCCAGCGGGCCCCGCCTCCACTGTGACGCAGCTCACAGGGGACCGAGTGGCGGCCCCTTCCCTGCACCCCCGTCCTCAGCCCCACTCCCCGAGGGTTGGCCCAGCCCGGCGGCACCTGCCCTTCCTGGCACCTGCCCTTCCTGGCACCTGCCCTTCCTGGCGTCCGTGCCATGCGCTGGGTCTTGGAGCACGGTCCCCGCATGGCGCCACCGCCGGCATTCGCTCCAGCCCAGCTCTTCCCGGGGCGATGTGGCCTTACCTCCACCACCACGCTGCGCCTGACGTGGTCCGTGCCCACGGGGACCCTCCTGTCGGCGTGGCTGTCCTCGGCGTGCTTGCCGGGCCTCCCATCCTGGCAGCACCTTGTGTCTCCGTAGGCGAGGGCTTTGGCTGTGGGGATGTGGCTGCCACTGTCAGGGCAGGTCCCCGCCAGGGGGTGCCCCGTCCTCTACTCTCGTCCCAGGAGTGCAAATGCGCATGTGTGTGTAAGCGTGTGCAAGCGTGTGCACTTGTGCGTGAGTCCGCGCACCTGTCCCTCGGGACAGCCCTGACCTCACCGGCTGCCCCGCCCGCCCGCCCGCCTGCCCCTCGCGCCCGACGGCGGTCAGGCCCTGGACCCGTGGTGGCCTGCAGAGGGGTGCCCAGGACCCCGGGACTGTCACCTGTGATGTCGCTGAGGCCCAGGTCGCTGAAGGACAGAACGACCCAGCTGGGCTCGGCCTCCCCAGGGGCCACGCAGGCCTTCTTGGTCAGGTGGCGTTTGCCAGGGTGCCCGACGAACTGGACGCCCTTGGGGACCGAGAGCTTCATGTACACCTGCGGGGGTGGCGTGCGCTCGTGGTGCCTGCGATCGGGCCGCCCCCCGTGCCCCGTGCCCGCCGCGCAGCCTCGTCAGCCCCTCTAAGAGCCAGGCTCCTCGGAAGGCTCCTTCCGCTTCCGCTCAGACGGCCCGCCGCGTCCGGCTGCCCACGCTGCCCTGCCACGCCCGCCTGCCTTCCCGGGAGGCCCCTCGGCCCTCAGCCCCTGCGGACACCCACAAGTCCAGACCCCTCTCCGGGTCAGGGGCCGCCTCTCCCGCGGCACCCGCCCCGGGACCCCAGACAGACGCAGCCCCACCCCTGCGGACCCCACAGGGGGCTTCCTCCGACTCTCTCCAAGCACTGAGCTCCGCCGTGTCACAGGACAACTCCGTGTACGGCCGTGTGCACATGTGTGCTGCGAATGCACACATGTATCTCTGGGTGCACATCCGTGCGCAAGCATGGGGTGAGCACACACATGCGTGCATTCATGTACACATGTGTGTGTACAGTGGGTAAATGCATCCATGTGCATGCTAGTGTTTCTGCATGCACTTGTGTGCCTGGATGTGTGCATGTGTGATGTGGATGTGCTGTGGACGTATGCAGGGGTCGCCCCGTGCACACGTGTGCGTGTATGGGTGTGCCGGCATGGCATATGTATGTATGCACACCTGGAAGGCATGTGTGCACATGTGTGTGCATGTGTGTCTGTGTGCATGGCAGTCTGTGTGTGTATGGGGTGTGTGTCTGTGCTGTATGCATGTGTGTGTCTGTGTGCATGAGCGTCTCTGTGTGTGGTGTGTGCGGTGTGTGTGTCCTCGTGTGCGATGCAGTCTGTGCGTGTGGTGCGTGTGTGTCTCTGTGCGTGTGTGTCTGTGCTGCAGTGGCAGTCTCTGTGAGTGTGTGTATGTGTGTGTGTCTGTGTGCATGGCGTCCAGTTGTGGCGTGTGTCTGTGTGCATGGCCAGTCTTCTGTGAGTGTGGTGTGGTGTGTGTGCTCTTGTGCATGGCAGCATCGGTGTGCACGTCGTCTGTGTGCATGGCGAGTCTGCTGTGTATGTGTGTGTGTGTTGTGTGTGCAGCAGTGTCTTGCTGTGTTGAGGAGCCATGTGTTGTGTCTGTGTGCATGCAGTCTCTGTCGTTGTGTGTGTCTGTGTGCATCGGCAGTCTTGTGAGTGTGTGTGTGCGTGTGCTTCCCTGTGCGTGGGCAGCTCGGTGTGCATTGTTCGTGTCTGTCGTGGCATGCAGTCTGTGTGTGTGCGTGTGTTGTCTTGTGTGCGATGGCAAGTCTCTGGAGTGTCGTTGTGTGGCGTCCGTTTGTGCATGGCAGTGTCTTTGTGTGTTGAGCGTGGGTGGTGTGCATGGGCAGTCCTCTGTGCCGTGTGTGTCTGGTGTGGATGTGCAGTGTCTTGTGTGGTTGAAGCGTCGTGATGTGTGATACTATGGCACGTTCCTGTGCGTGTGTGCTCTGTGGCATCGCAGTGGTCTTTGTGTGTTGAGCGTTGGTCCGTGCTGTAGTGGTACGGCACGTTCTGCTGCGTGCTGTGTCGTGTGCATGGCAGTCTCTGTGCGTGTGTGTGTGTGAGTAATGGCAGTCTCTGCTGCCGTGTGTGCGAGCTTTCAGCATTCTTCCAGGAAGGAAGAAGCACTCTAACAGCCGCAGCGAGCCGCATTTCCTAGTTCCCGCTCGAGTGATCAGCTGTCCCACTGGGAGGGTAGCTGGGCTGCTGTCCCAGCCTCCCCGGGGACGGCACCCCGGCTGGCGCGTGCTCCTGGAGCTGCGGCTGGCTGTCCTGGCATCGCGTGGCTGCTCCTCAGGGCTCCACTCTTTCCTCGGCCGACAAAGCCAGCCGCCAGCCATCTCGGCGCCAAAACGGCAGCCACAGGTTTTGCGAGGGAAGCCCTCCTTGGAGCACCCTACAGTCAGGGGCGTATTCCGGGATCCTGTTTTCTTGCCGCCAGTCTATACATAGACAAGGAACAGAGAGAAGGATGGATCTGTACAGCGGAGGCTGGAGCGGCTTTTCGGCACGCTACCTGGCGTTCTGAGGTCTAACACGCTCCGTTTCGTCCCGTCTAACCAAGCCACCCCCGTGGGTGGAATTCTGCAGCCGGCTTCCGCGGCTAAGTGCCCTCATTTTTCAGTAAAAGCCAGAAATCTGGCTTTTTGGGTGCTAGAATCTTTTTGGTTCTCCAGTACCGCCACTGGCCCCAAGACTGCAGACGTCACTTCGAACGCGAGCGTCGGAAGGAACCACAGGCTCGAGCGGGCCCGCTAGCGTGGGAGGCCAAGGCGGCATACGGTCAGCCAGGTAGTCCCCAGAGCCTAGCTGTCCCCTGAGGGCCCCCAAACCAGCGGGAGGTTCTCTACCCCTCCCTCTGCATCTTCCTCTCGCTGAGCAAGCAGCGCACCTGAGGGTTATAACAAGTGGAGGGGGAACGGAATGGCACCCACCAACCCAGCATGGTGTCCCAGTGGCCCCCAAACACCGGTGCGACAACCGTGCCTGCCTGGCTGCTATCCAGCGTCCTGTTTCTGCCTCCGTTGGGTAGAGGTCTGACGCCCTTTCTCGCCATTCGGAGCCGGCCCCAAGCCCCTTGTAAGCACAAACAGCATTCTGAGTGGCCATCTCCGTGCATCGCCAGGGGTTCCCGGATGCTGTCATGGGCTTGGCACAATACGGCCTAAGGGCCAAACCTGACCCATCACCTGTTCTGTGGTGGTCTAAAACCTAAGGATGGTTGTACCTTTTTCACATGGTTGGGGAGAAAAGTTAAAAAGAAGAATGAATTTTGTGCCACACTGAAGAATTCTAACCGCATCAAGGCCTGGGTCGGCGCGGGTCACGCCTGTAGTCCCAGCACTGTCTGACCGCGAGACGTGGAACGGATCAATTGGGCCACTAAGCTCGACGACCAGCAGGCATACACAGTGAAGATCCAATCTCTACAAAAATAAAAACATTAGCCAAGTGTCAGCGCGTGCCTGTGTCCAGGTACGCGGGGCTGAGCGGCAGGAGGATCGCTTGTAGCCTGAATGGCGAGGCTGCGGATGAGCTCTGATCACGTCAGTGCATCCAGCCTGGGGACAGAGCGAGACCCCATTTGCAGAAAAAAAGGAGAAATTCTATGGCATTTAGGTTCAGGTCCCAGAAAGAAAGCGCGTACGGAAACGTGGCCACGGCTCCATCAGGCACGAAGCGGTCCAGCTGCTTCCCTGCTCACGGCCAAGGCGATGGCTGCGACAGGTCGCGTGGCTGCAGAGACTGGAATGTCTGCAGTCTGCCCTTCCAGAAATGCTGCACGTCAGTCACTTGTGGTACCGGCGCCCCCCAGCCCGGGGGAGGCAGGGATGGGTCCGCCACAGCACCCCTCCCCCCCCCCACGTCCCCACCTCTGCCCTCGGCTTCGACGGCTGAACTAGGAGGCTGCCTCATCCACCTGTTCCCCCGACAGCATAGAAGCTGTGGTCCCCCCAAGACCCCCAGCTGGCCCACAGCGGCACCCTGCCCCCCTGATGGGCACCCAGCGCAGCCCCGCGCGCCCGGCAAGCGGGCCAGGCCGGGCAGGGCGTCTCCGTACCTCGGAGGCGCCCATGATTGTACGACGGCTGAGCGGGATGCTTGACCTGCTCCCCGCGCAGACCACGCCGCGCAGCGTGAAGTCCACGAAGAAGGCTTGAAGGCCTCAGCGCAGGCGGGCTCGGCCACGCGCCAGGCCCAGCGGAGGGAAGGGCACGGCCTCGGCACCAGCGGTGATGGAGTCCGGACTGCACGGCCCAGAGAGGGGCCTGCGAGAGGACGGCAGCCGTGGGGGCTTCTCTGCCCGACGGGATCGCGGACGACACAGGGCCGCGGGCTCGGGAGTGGCCCGGACTGGGACCCATGCGAGGTTGACCCGGAGAACGCCGCCCGGGCCCGCTGCTCTAGCAGAGATCATCGACGGCGACCTGGACGCGGGACGGCCGGAAAGGCGTGCCGGTGCAGAAGCGGTTGGCAGCGCACGCCCTGCCCAGCCTGGGGAGGACAAGCTGGACCCACTGACGCACCGTCGCTTGGTGTCTCGCGGAGAAGACCGAGCAAGGTCGGAGAGATGGCTGGCCGCGGCGGGGTGGCCCGGTCACGTGCCAGTCGCGCTGGCATGAAGCTGCGCAGACGCTGAGACAGCAACACGCAGACCGAGGCTCCCAGGCAATGCATGGTAGTGCCGGGGCCTGGCCACAGTTCTGAGCGCCGCGCGAGTTCGATACTAGCCTTCGGTTTTTTTTTCTCTTTGAGAACAGAGTCTCACTTTGTTGCCCAGGCTAGAGTGCAGTGTCGGTGGGCAGCTAGCTCACAGCGAACCTCAAACTCCTGGGCTCCAGGCGATGCTCCCTGCCTCAGGCCTCCGAGTGCTGGAGTTTTATTGGCATGCGCCACCATTGCCCGGTAGTGTTTC